CCTCATTTTTTCCTTCGTTCTCTGTCTCATTAAACATTGTAACGTTCTTACCTGATTCACTTTTGTCCTTGGGTTTCTTCGTATCATTTTCCACCGTTTTCTCTGCTTTTCCTTTCATTTTTGCTTCTCTCTTTTCCCGCTTTGTTATTTTCATTGTTGCATCGTTCATTCCTTTCTTTTTTGACAAAGGAGATCCCTTTCCTATTCCGACAGTTTCTTCACCCTTTCCTCCCTTCTTTACTTTCTTTTTTCCGTCATTTTTTTTACCCATTTCGTTTTCATTTACTTCTTTCTTTCCTGACTCCTTTCCTATCTTTTTTCCTTGTCCCTTTTCGGCAATCTTTTCATTTTTTGTTCCTACTTTTGTTCCATGTTTTTCTTTAAGGAGGCCACCTTCTTTCTTTTTAGCCTCGCTTTTCTTGTTTTTACCTTCTTGTTTCAATAGCTTATTTTGCCGTTCAGCTTTGATTTTCTTCCCTTCTAGGGCCTCACCTTTCTGATCTTTTTTTAGGTTATTCATTTTGCTTTCTTTTCCGGTTTTCGCTTCTGCTGCTGCCTTTCCATTACCACTGGACATAACTTTTTTTCTCCCCCGTCGTTCAGGATTTTTCACTTCGCTTCTGACCTGTCCAGGAGCTTTTGCGTCGCCCTTCGTCTCATTGCCTAAGGTTTTCGGCATTAGCGGCCCAACGACTTGGGGAATTTTTGTTTGACGCAGCGGAAAAGCACCAAGAGCAGGTTTGGCTGCCTTCCGCTGGACTTGAAGCTTCCGGAGTTGAAGTTCATTTTTAGGGTTGTTCAGAAGCTGCGGTTGTTGCCCTGGTGCTGCACCTAAAGTATCAGTTTGTTATTCGATTGTTTCACTTTTCCCTGCATTTATTAACGTGTCAACGTAACTTTGGGTATTAATAAGTAACTTTTCGCTTTCACGACTTAGCTGGGGGGATATTCAAATGCTGAGAAATGTGTGCCTATGACTATAGCACATTTCTAGAAGACCAGGCAGGTAAAACCCATAATATCATAGAGATATTGCATAAACTACTAATTAGTCATCCAGTATAATTCTAAGATGTATTCTCAATTATGTCATGTAGGAACTGCTGCCAAATGGGCTTGTGTTCTAGTTATTAGTTCTTAATGGCCTCTGCTACGTATGAGGTCTACTAGTCGACAGCTATCATGGATTAGCGGCTATTTTCATGTCTTTCACGTTCGCAATTTCGTCGCAGTTAAAGCATCAGTTAGTTCGAAATTCTGACAATTCGATGCTACAAGTCTATTTCTCTCACACTCCCATGCCAATCATTTTGTTGACCCTCTGCGATTGCCTGCTGCACAGTCGCCGTATTGCCTTTTCTTTCACCTTTGGTAACATGTGGACTTTTGTACGTCGTCTTCCTTTTCTCCGCTGAGGCTGTCGTTTTCGTCTTCCGCCCTCATTTTTCTATACAACCACGTTAATCGTCTGTTATTTTTCGTCTGCAAGAGTGTTTCCCGTTTTCCCAACGTAAATCTATCGGTATTTGCAGGCAGTTTAACACATCCTGCCATACCCTGCTCAAGTGACACTTTCGTTTCGACATGAGCCAGTTCACTTCGAAGTGCTTATGGGAATTTTAACATCACTTTAATTCCCGTGGTGGAACCGGTCCTCATTAACTTTGTACCGAAGTTCTGAATATACGGTTAAGATGTTATGCCTTTACGATGTTGAGTGATATCCTCTGGTCGTTCTTGATATTGGAGCTTCGCTATTTGGTGCAAAATTGACTCGGAGAGCAGCTGATTTTCAGAACTATACGAGTATGCCTGAACTTTAATACCGCCATCATTGATTGTATGGGAAAAATTCGAAGAAAAGGGAAGAAAATGATTGGTTTCCATTGGCTGGTAGTAGACTTCAGTTGCGTAGCTCGTCTCTTTCGCAAGAATGGTATATCGATAAATGGTATATTTTCCCATTTTTCTTTACCTTCCTACTGAAGAGTATGTCAAATGGAAAGAGGTGATTCACGTGACCAAGAAAGGCTATTCGTTTCCCCTTTTAGAAACACCGAAGATATCATTCAGTTTTCACTAATGCGCGAAAGTGATGCGATAAGGTCGGCAACTGTTTGGAATGTAACTGACTCTAGATATGCGACGAATATTTCCGAGGCAGTTGGATGATAAACGACAGCCCATGGGTATACGTTTTTTTGTAGAGAGTACCGAACTACATTGGATTGAAGAGACAAGGCTGCCTTTCCTCTAGTCCTTCATGACAATGATCATAGGCATTTCGTAACTTATCCTAGTAGAATCTCCTTGCACGTGATGGATGAAATTTTGTTAAACAAAATCGATTGAGTTAATCGCATGTGAACTCATGATTTTCATAATTTTATATATACATTCCTTATGATGAATATGACACACAATTCTGATTCCACACTTGCTGATGAGATCGTAGATGGCTGGCCAGTACCTGGCTGAGGACACAAACAGCGTAGATATCAATAACTTATTATCAATGCGTTTTGCTACGCACGCTGCAGCACCGCCAGGGGGCACAAGTTTGATATGGCAGGCAGCACGTCGCGTCGTATATACAAAATAGCGTATTTGAAGTGCGTAGCAAATGAATAGGAGATTTTAATAAGCATGTTCATTAGTTTAAATTTTGCAGTTAAATCTCAGCTACTCATTAGTGATAACACCCTAGCCTTCAGTTATCACAACAGAGAAGCAGTAGTTATTGCATACATGATTTTAATTACGTAAATATACAGGACTCTTTTACGAAATGACCCAGCTTTGACCGGTCACTGTTTATTATACACACATTCATTACACCGAAAGAGCGTTCTTCACAAATGGTGTTTTGCATAGTACCAGTGAAATCAGCCAGTCCGAGGCGGCGGACTGTAGATAAATATTTTTAACGAATATTCAAACTCTCGTAGGCCTTACCGACGCAGTCTCTGCAATCAACGCAGTAGGTCAGATTAAACGCCTCCTCCGGGGCTTCTCGAAGCTCGAGGTTACTTACTGAACAGAGACATCTCTTGTTTAAATCCTTAAACCAGTGTCGTACATGTCTCCTAATTGGTTCGAGTATCTGAGGTATGCATGAAAAAATTACCATTTATCTGTTTACCTTAATCATCAACTTCATCACCGCTTCTCCTTGCGGGTAGCGGAGGCAGACACGTCAGACAGAGCTTCCAACGTTCCCGATCCTGTGCCAGAGTCTGAGTTCCGGCAGAAGACAAATGGAGTCTGGAACAGACCTCTTCCATATGTTCGCACCAGGTTAATCTTGGCCGTCCCCTAGGCCTTTTGCCGGTCGGATTTGTAAAGAACAGTTGCTTAGCCTTCCTTTCTGGAGGCATTCGCAACACAT